CACATTGTGAAAAATCTAAAGTATGAAGTTCCACATGCATCGAACAGAACAGACACCGGTGATGTAAAACTGATCGCATAGATTCTTCATCAGCATAACGTTCCTGAAAATATGTCGGCGATTGATGCAATTTTGACGCAACATAGCTCCTATATAAATACGCTGCGGAGCACAAATTACTTAGAAGCAACACAGAGAAGGACACCGCGGGAAGGTAGCATGCAGAAGAAGCAAGGAAAAAGGAAGAAGGAGGCAAGCAAAAGGAAAAGGGGAACAAGCAAAAAGAAAAGGGGACAAGAACACGGCAGAAAAACGATGCACACACGCGAAGCTAACAATCGAAAAATCTGAGTCAGCACTGCTTTTATACTCCAAATAAAGACTCCAAGACATGATTTCTGGAGATGTATACTCCATGGATTGATCATTTTAATTTGCTCTCATGTAGGATCACCGCGACGTACTTGATCTTCGAAAGATGGGATCGGAAAGCCCACCGTTGGTCCGCTCTATGTGCTGAGTCAGCTACCATAGTGATCATATGGTCAGCCATAACTCCACCCTGTGGTGTACGAATATGTTCCTGCCTCGAAAATGCTTCTCCAAGAATACATACAGGGCGATCACTGAGGGCGCCGCCGTACTTTCCGCACATCTTGACCAACCGTTCCATATCACTTTTGTGAAAATCATCATGGTTAGGTACGACTGCTCGGCAATAAAAGGAAGTAGGTGGCAACCATGATTTGTCAGCGGGATCACAACTAGAAGGACGAATAAATCCTTCCCGAACAATGTCACACAGAGCTAAAGCCTGAGTGTTATGGCCAAAAAGGAAACGATGATTGAATTGGACTTTGGGAGTGCTTCGAAAATATGGTGGTTGCACTGATGCTAGGATGGCCAAAGGTGTCTGTGTGGAAGACATCAATATCTGAAATTCCTCTATCAAAATAGAGTTGGCTGGATATTGCATCAAGGATGCAATCAAAATTTGGATTCCTTCCTCCACATGAGCAGCTCGTGAGTTCATGAAGGCTGATGGAAAGCATGTGCGCAAATCATGTGTGACATATTCATACCAAAAACCACTCATTCGTTTGGCTTCATCGAAGGTTTGATAGCCGTTGGCTCGACAAAAATGATGCATGTCTGGAATCCATTTTTGTTGACGTGGTTCTTCAATAAGTCTGCCCATCTCAAATCCTCCAGCAATTCGATGTGGATTTTGGTATAAATCTGAGTGTAAACGCGATACAGTGCTGTACAGTCCACACCAATCCAACTCCTTCAATGTTCCATGTCGTATTGCATCAAATTGATTGGACGAAAAACGTGCCAGTGGATGCGACACCCACAAATGGTGTCCGAGGTGTTCCAATTGTGGATGCTTAAATTCCATAATCTGTAGTACACTGGAAGAGATAAACTTTTCTGGTTGTCGTCCAATTTTGAAACATACTGATTTTGTTTGAGTCTCTGCAGAAACTTCAGGAGCGACATCGCTTTGGAAGTTCTGAGTTCCCCACTGATGTACGAAAGTGCCGAGCTGAGATGGAATCGTACCAGACTTGTCCAGGGGATCCGGACCACGTTCCGATCTTGGAGGTTCCAATACATTTTCACTGCGAAATCGTTTCGATGGCCGTTCTGAGGTCGTTACCCGATCAGTCAGAGCAGGTGTAACTGATGTCGCGATTTGTCCCGAAGAATTGGGAAAGGTCAAATGTAAGCCAGGTATCCAACCTGTTTGATTTCCTGCATGCGTCAAATTGGCAAATTGAGAGATAATCCCAAGCTGATGAAATTGATTTTGAGCTTGAAGTATTCCCAATTGGCATTGATGTTCCTGAACTTGTAGACTGTGCATCTGAATAGCCTGATCATTCTGAATAACACGTTGTGCCATGAGTGATGCCTCTCCGCGAGGTACTCTGAATTCAAACTCGCCAGTGAATCCCCGATAATGAAAACTGACATCTTCAGTAGTACGTCTGCCAGCTGGTGTGGCCCAAGTAGGAATTGGATCACGAGGTGGGGGACCCATGGACTTCGGAACTACGCCGGTCGGTATCATGGTAATGTTGATAATGTCCATATATGAAAATGAAGGCAAAAGAGAAAAAGGAAAAACAATAAAATTGAAGCAGACAACAACCACCTGTAACATTGAAGGATGTTGGTTTAAAACAATGACATCTTGCAGCAACTGTCGCTTCAGAGCCAACATATTGGGTACATTGTTCATGACATTCAAAAGCAAACATATAAAGGTCACAAAAATGTCAAACAGCGAGAAAATTTTAACAACTGAAAACGGAATTGTGAAAGAGTCAGAACGTTTTTTGAACTGCAAACTGTGATTCTGTAAGGATCGGACCTGGGTAAGACAACAGGTGAGACCCCCCGAAGGGTTAATCCATCCCTATAGGGATTAATCCTGGTCCTTCGAAGGGACTAATCCGTCCATCGTTGGGACTAATCCGTTGAAGTATGACAAATTGTCATAATTCGCTCCTAAAGTGGAGTAATCCTGTGATTGACATAACAACCACGTCAAATCCGGATTGTCACATTCCACTATCCACCGGAGCGGCCGGTGACCAGATCTAGACCCGCACGAAGCAGATCGACGGTGCTCACAAGTCAGTGAGTTCACCCAAACACACTGCTTAGGTTGATTTGATGATGATGAGAGTAGAACTTGCCGTCGCCTGATTTCCTAAGTCACCTTCGATGGGGCACAGTTGCAAACGGTGAAATTCGGGCAATCGATTCTTGCCAAAGGACTCAAAAACAAGGTAATAGAACAGCTTGTGCAAAAGTTCGAACCAACATTGCAGGTACGTCAACCCAGCGTCCCAGGTTGATATCACTGTGACATCAGAAGCGTCTTCGTTGGCTGGAGACTTCTGATTCACACTCCAGCCCAGTGCATGTCTGAATTAAAATTCAGTTCTTATTGTCGCCACATATTGTCTTCCTTGCTTCGTTGTACGAAATTGTAAAATATCCGTATGTTATAACGGGTTTCTCACACACACACAAACACACACACACAAACAAACACACACACACAAACAAACACACACACACACAAACAAACACACACACATACACACTCCGGCAATTTAACACTGCTATGGACAATTCCCCGTTTTGATGATGTAAATCACCCATGGATGGGATATGTTCCATGGTTACATTGCCAAAGGGTAAACGGTGCAATTAGGGGGCAGAAATTAAATTAACATGATTAAACTTGATTAAACTTGATTAAACACAATTTTTGATGATGGTGGCCCACCACACATACAAACACACACACACACGCAAAAAATATGCCGACCCACATCTAAGCTCCCGCGCCAAATCTGCGGCCAATTAGGACATTTTCGCGACAGAAACAGGCTGAAATGTGGATGACTGATTGCTACTGACGATATTGATATACGACAAGCACTGAAACGGGATACATAATATATCATATTTACTAAGCAAATAAAATGCGAATAATGGCATATACAAATAATGATGTATGATCGGCAAATATGCATACCTCATTCCCGTTAAAATTATTGGATTTGCGAATCATCATTCTCGCGTTTGTCCAGGAATACGGAATAACCACAAGTCATGGAAATTGACATGGGAAAACGGCGGGAAAACCACTGGATTTTGAGGACTTTTGGGGTACTGTATCCGAATTTCGGACAAATAATATTGGTCCTGACATGTGAAATTATTTGTATACAATTCATTTCGATTCCTTTCTGCTTTGAGACAACGTACTGAAGCCTTTTGATTGTTGTTTCAAAAGGAATGTCAATCCGTTTATCTTCTGTATACACAAACTTTCGCATCTTTTGAATTTCAGCTCTCCAAAGCCTTTTGGTAGGAAACTTTGTCCAACTGAAGCTGCACACCGAGCAAAATATTCGACGGCCCAGAGTTCTTCAGCGGCATGGCGTTCTGTTTTGTCTGGATCTGCATGTGTGGCCCTGTAAGCCAAGCATTTCACAACCACATACTGTGGGTATCACCATCTTCTCAGCCACTCTCTGGGGCATGCCCGGTGTAGGTGTTATCATCCAGTCTCTAAGTGGGATGCACATCCAAGCGGTAAACTTAGGGAATTTCACATGGAAAAAAAACACCTTTGAAACGACGACCAGTGTACCCTCGGGTAATCTGATCAGACAGTTCAGTATAGAACATTACAATCCCATTGCAAGGTTCCATTACCAGAGGGTAAGTAAAACCTTCCACATTTCAACTGTATATCTAAATTGGTCCAGAACTGGGGTATAGCGCCACCAAAATTTCGAACATGTTATGGAGAAGATGTTCGGTTCTCAATCCAATGTTGGGGTACCCCATGTTTAGACAAAGCCTGACAAAGCCTGGCTTCACTTCAACGGGAAGTTGAGTACATCAGCGCTGATTACGCTCTGGTAATTTGTTACATAGCTATTGAACATGGCCATTTATAGATATTTATAGTGGATTTACCCATTGAAAATAGTGATTTTCCATAGTTATGTTAGTTTACCGGAGGGGAACAATTGTACCCCAGAATTCTATAGAATTGTCCTGCGAACCCACTCTCAGTCATGTTTTTCTGTATCTCTGAAAATGTTCATATGATTATCCATCATTCTCTGGGTGTTTAACTGTGCTAAAGAACATCCAATCATGCACCGTCACATGCTGTAGTAACCCCAAGAAAGACAGTTGTGATTTCTCATGATTTTTCGTGGGATTTTCATGTTTCCCAGGCCAAGATGGCCCAAGATCTTCACATTGAAGTCGCCAGTGTTAAGAGACAAATCCAAGGATTTGTGTCAAGCATTTTTGGCACTCCAAAATCCAATGGCTGATCGGTTTATCATCATTTCTCCTGTTTAAACATGTTGTGAACATGTTAAATGGTGATTTCGGAAGTATCCATCATTCTCAGACCCGTTTTGAGATCCCGGTTAAAAACTCCCTTCCCCCACCGGAAGAACTGCCTTTAGTCGGTCCAGTAGAAAGCGTTCCGCTGCAATGAGCAGGTGTACGGCCAGGTCGGATGAGATATCGCCCACCTCCCGCGTTCGCGCCATGGATCAACTAATTTGTTCATTACTTTACTTATATGATTAGTATTGATTACTTTGCCAATAGTATTGCACACAGACCCGAGGTTTGCCCAAGCCCAGAATAGCGTAAATAGCATGGAATTTTGTACCACGTCAAACAACGGAAAGAAAAAAAACATATGTTTATGTTGCTAGGGTGCTGACCAGAACATGTTGCTTCTACATATCATATAACCAGAACATGTTACTTCTGCGTATCGTGTGGGATAAACCATACAGTCATTCAGTCATTAGGGTTTCTTAAAGGGTTTCAAGTAGATATCAAAATCCACCAGCCCCATGGAGTAATTGACCATACAGTCATTAGGGTTTCTTACAGGGTTTCAAGAAGATATGAAAATACCCCGCCCACATGGAACAATTAACGATACAGTCATTTGGGTTTCTCATAGGGTTTCAGGAATATATAAAAATCCCGCGGCCCCAATTAACCATACAGTCATTAGGGCTTCTTATAGGGTTTCAAGAGGATATCAACATCATTTTATCGTTATTGTCATTATCATCATCATCATCATCATCATCATCATCATCATCGTCATCGTCATCGTCATCTTGGCTTGCCTGGACGCTCATTGCGAGTCCGGGCAAACCTCAGGGTCTTCCCATAGTATTTGTATGTAAATAGATGTGTTTATCGGGTATTTTAATAGTGACCCGTGCCTTGGTATTGATGACTTTGCCAACCAATCTTCAATAGCATTCAATAGCTAGTAATAGTATAGCAATACAAACAATTCCGTAGGTTAAATCCCCCAACTAATCATCAACCAGGCTTTTTAGCCCAAGGTTATCACCTAGGCCTAACTTCAGCGACCATCCCAATGAGTTCACAGTCCCCATTGTTGCCGGTTAAAACTGATCACATCATATATGTTGCTAAATCAAGCTTACATATATATATATATATATGTATATATATATATATAGATATAGAGGTTTGAATAGGATCCAGGATCCCTGCAAATCCAATAGTTCATCATCAGGTTCCCCATGTTTCAATGGCCAAAGAATTTGGGCCATACACCTGTTATTCCAGGGCATCACCCCACGCCGTCACACCTGGTCTGTGTAGATATACCTGTGGCGAGGAGACACATCTTCCAGACATCCCAAGAGTTAGTTTCCAACATTTCTGAGGTACATATGGGATCTATATCCTATATGATACGAATTAAGTGGTTGGAAAGATCCGCCCCAGGCGGTATTCTCTGATTCTTGACAGAAGCCTCGGATGGCTTCCTTGGAACACTGACAGGACGTGTTTGTTTTTCCAATTCATTCCGAAACGTTGGGGTTTGGATCAATGAATGGATCTATCTAAAAATCAGTTAATATGTTATCTAAATACAGTAACTTAGTTATTGTTATTATTGTATTGTTTAGTCAATCAATGCCCTAATACAGTAACTTTGGATCCATCAGGAACACGCGATTTTCTCGTGTATATTTAGTGTAAAGGCGAGTACTGGAACATGTAGAAATCTAAGAGTGTGTAGTTGGTATGTAAATATAATAGTATCCCGATAACATATAATCATCTAAATGATGTGTGTATATATTATATGTGTATATATATATACGCGCAACGCCTGGGCTTTGCCCAGGCTTTGCAGTGTAGAGGGTCCCCATTCCCAATCAAATGTTGTTGCAACTCTGCATTCCATTGGGAAGATCAACAAAGGTATTAGGCAATATTAAAATCCCACCCCCATTAAACTCTACATTCAATTGGGAAGATCAACAAAGGTATTGGGGAATATTAAAGTCCCACCACCGTTCAACTTCTACAGTCATTGAAGATCTTCAATAAGGGTTTAATTCTCCCACCCCCGTTAAACTTCTACATTCATTGAAGATCTTCAATAAGGGTTTGATGATGATGATGATGATGATGATGGGTTGCCTGTCGTGGTTGCGGTTCTGGGCAAAACCCAGGTATTTGCCGTATATATATATATATGTATGTATCATATATTCTATGTTATAATATGTTATATATATATGGGCAAATTGTGGTCCGCATCTTTGATCATTTCCCCACATGAGGTCCCCCAGTTGTCGCCCATCAACCCAAACGTTAACCAAGTTCGGTGCGTCAACTTGACCAACATCAATCAACGAAAAACTATTATAAAACCATACAAATCCCATTCAATCCAGATTTTTATTGGTAGTTCAACAATTTATAGATGGTTTACCTATTAAAAAATTATGATTTTCCATGGCTATGTTAAATAACCAGATGGTAAAACACCTATGTTTTCCTATGGTTAGGGGGCCAAAAACCTCATCTTTCCATGGTGAATCCTCCAATCCCCAGGGGCACTCCAGCAGCAAGAGGAACACAGGATGTGCCAACTGGGACCGGTCACGCGGTGATACGCTAGATGTGACAGTCACAAAATAACATCTGGGATTTGGATGGATTTGGTTGATTTATGTTGATTTAAACTGATGTCAATGATGATTTTGGGTGATTTTCTTTGGTGATTTTGGGTGGCTGCTCGATGTTTCTTGCCTGCAACATCCTGAACATCACATTGAATACAGGATCCGGCTGGGGAATAGGAACAGGAATTGGTTTGAAAAGGAAAATCTCAAGGTTTTGAGATGTTCACGTGCGCTCCAAATACCCTCTGAGGTGTGTGTGTGTGTGCGGACCCTAAGAACAACCCAAATGGGTCCAGTCTTAGAAGCTGCTTGGAGCTGCATAGATTGCTGGTTTCAACCTTTTGACCATTCCAAGCAGCATGGAAAGTAGAAAAAGTACTTGAAACAGCTGATCCCCCAGCTATATAGTAGATGGTTGGTTGAGTGGATTTCAAGGGAAGGATCCATCAAACATCCAAAACTTGGTTCATGGCCCTGAACATCAAAGGAAATAGATCGCAAAATAGATCGCTAAGGCTCATCCAGCTTGGGGCACCTCTGAAAATGGAACCTCCTTGATGCTTCTTTAAACAAAAGTTAAGTAGTTTGGCTATTAGTCCAATAACCAGAACCAAGTAACCACATCTATTCTTGGCACCAATGTACAAAATCCATTTGACAATGATTGTTGTTTCATGTCCGAATGTTTGTTGGTGATATTCCCACTGCATTCACCCATTCTGAGTGCCATTTCTCTGGTGATCCTACCTGGAAACTCCTGCTGCCATAGATTGCCCAAGCTTAATCTCGTTTAAGCTACAACTACAGGTGGGCCCGGAATTATAAGATGTTGCAAGTTGATAAACCCCATTCGCTATAGTTATATCGTCCATAAACCTGAGTTAACCAAGTTATGTGCGTCAACTTAGAAGTCAACTTAGGGGGCCCACCTAGTACCATTTGCACATGCTGTTGAGCTTCCTGGGCTCTGCGAGGTGGAGAAAAACTAAGCGTTTTCTCGATGTCAGGAGAAATCCTCAGTTCCCTTTTAGACGTTCGAAGCACCAAGGAAGACACCCCGACCAGGATTTCAAAAGTAAGCTTGTCAGGCTCCAAGAGAACGCCTGATACGCTGAGTTGGGACGCAAAGAGTTGGCACTGACATCGAAGTCAGCTGCTATTGAGCCAGAACAAATTACCTTGGGAGATGTACGTATACTTTAGCAGTCTTCATAGCCTCAAATTCGACAGCACACCACGACGCCTGAGGGTCAGCATCTCAATTCAAAACTGCTCCAGTTCCACCTGTGAAGCCCAAGGTTCCCTAAGATCCTGAGCGTCAAACATCTTGCAGCACAATCTGTTCTCCAGCGTCTGACCTGGGCGGCAATCAACGATTGAAGGGAACATCTACGGTTGTTGAAACCATAGATTTAAACAGCGAACGACCGGGTGGTTTCTGGTAGATTTTCCCTTCAACCAATTCTGGGATTTGGGGCACTAAAAACGACTCAAAATCAGCCTCCATAGTGCCAGAACTCTGCTGGCACCCTGCAAATCCACTGATTAGGATCTTGAAATCATCATTAGAATAACGGATGATTAAGGTTCAATACCAATTCAATACCAAGACAAGTGTCAGTTGAGCAGCGCTCAAGAACCTAATGCTATCCCAAACGTATTGGTCGATTGAGAAGGATTCCCATCATGATATAGTATATATGGAAAAACGATCCCAAATCAACATCACTGCACCAGTTTGTACAATCCTCTACTTTTAAGCATCCATCAGCCATACTCCATCATCAGGTCAAGATTATATTGGCTTGCCTGAAAATGGGATATACCCCCAAATGTTTTGAGGTATTAAAATCAAAAAAATATGTGAAACATCGTTAAAGCCTCATTTTTTGGCTGGTAGATTCCATTTTAATCTGGCATATCCACCAAATTTGGTGGTCTAAAAACTCCAAGCCATCAGCCCTAGCAGCCTGGCTGCCTGGCCCTGGCCCTCTGGCCCTGAGAGCCCGGGCTGCGACTCGCGCATCCCACCGTAGAACAAAGCCCTGAAGTGTTCAGAGCGCGCCGCCAAGTGGGCACGCCTCGACGCTCGTGACACGTTCAGTGCTAAATAACTAAAGGAACTGGAGAAATAAATCATGCAAATATCCATAACTTCAATAACTATATACTGGACTTATGGTATAGATCATGATAATATCTTGATCAAGTTGATATGAGCAACCAGTTGTACCAGAAAGCGGCAATCCATAAAAGAAATCTTTTGCCCGTTGTGGCTATTCTCCATTTATAGTCAGAAAACTCAAGGATTAAACTGACCTGGCCCATCATGAAAGAACCATCCCGGTCCCAAATATGTATAGAAAGGAAAGGATTCTAATCTGGTAAATTAATTTTCCAACCCCTGTCTGCCAGGGTATATGTTAATTTACTGGAGGACAATTGTACCCAGCACATCGCAGGGCATCTTGTTGGGGGTCTATGAGGCAGGCTCTACGCCGCGACTCTACGCCCGCAAAACATCCCTGGAACGATCGGTTGCAGTTTAAACAAGACACACTTCCCACCGCAAATCAGCCTGAAATTTCAAATAAGTGATGTTCAAAACTGGAAAAATAACAAACAAATGTATCCCATTCTTATCCCGTATTTAGTTTCAGTTTTTATAGTTTCTCCCATCTTAAAAAATATACTCTGCCATCATCTCCCATTTATTGGGTGTTAAACGTCCCCCCAACGAGGCCGATGCGTCGCGTAGACGGACTGGTTCTCCACAATGAACGTGACCTACGCGGAGAACAGCAACGGATGACCGGTGACCACCGGGTGCGAACATCGAGGGGAAATCAACGATACAATGATACGGTATATGTAATGTACTGTATATAAACACTATACTGTATATCTACTATATATATATATAATATTGTTATATATATATATAGCAATAAGCAATAATACAATTGAACACATGGGGTATGATAGGTATATATATTATATAACCAAACATGGGGATATGTCATGGGGATATGTCATGGGGATATGTCATGGGGATATAATGGGATATAATGGGATATAATGGAATATAATGGAATATAATGGAATATAATGGAATATAATGGAATATAATGGAATATAATGGAATATAATGGGATATAACGATATTGAACCAGCTGGCGATGCCCCATAGTTAGCAAAAAAACATGTGAGCATAATATAACTACAACTCTGGGGTTATTGTAGGCTTATACTTATAAAGCAATTGATGAGGTTTATAAATCCACAAACATAAGTTGGAGGCATCACTTTGTGGGGGACCCACACGAATAAACCTCCAAGTTTAAGGACATATTATATATAATGATGTACTGTAGTAGAATTCATTTCTGGTGAATCATTGGGTTTCCCAAGATAACTAATGAACTTTGAATGGGACAAGCCATCTCTAAATATTCAGGATCATTTTGTGGTGATTTGCTGGATGACCCGATCGAGAGGGTATCAAATTTGTGACAAGAACATGCTAGTCAACTGGTTTCATTTTCCCGAAACAAGGATGGAACATAACTTTGGCAAACAGCGCACGTGCGAAAGGATTGAGGTTGGATACTGGTTGAACCAAAAGAACAAACAAATGCATGATCTCAGGATCATTCATGTGTATCACATGTATACATCCCTTTGTTTTGCTTGATTTTGAGCAAAGCCTCTAGGGTTGACCATTGGGATTGGTTTATTACTTGCGGATTGGATCCCCTGGCGTCTGAAAATATGGCTACGTATGCCCTGGCTATCTGGGTTATCGGGGATGATCCTTAGCATCCGACGGATCTGGATGATCCGTAGTATCATTTCCTTTAATTCAAGCACTATAGCCATGATTATCTAGTTGGTGGTATACCTACACCTCTGAAAAATATGAGTTCGCCAGTTGGGATGATGACATTCCCAACTGAATGGAAAAATAAACAATGTTCCAAACCACCAATCAGTTCTCATCATTTCCCCGAGTAAAATCACCATACGAAGCTTTCCTGAAATGGGGGCATCCCCAAATCAAATCATCCAAGATTAGACAATGTTAGTATTGAAACCCCTGGTTTTGGGGACCCCCCATTTTAAGAAACCCCCATATCATTCCGCCTAACAACCCATAAACACATTGTTTTTCAGTCTGTCGGTCGCCGAGGAACGTCCGAAAAGGCAGGGTTGTTGATGAGTTTTCGCAAATCATCCACGAGGTTGCTAGGCCTGGAGTGCAGGTCCCAGTGATGCCGGTACCGGGAGAATTTTTCGGTGAAACCACAGATTTGGTGCATTCCCATGAAGGTTCTTTCGGCGTCAAAACGGGAAACTCCTATATTTGCAGAAAAACAACATTGGCTTCTTGTAGGTCTTCCCACACACCAGCTCATATAATATACTGGTTGGTGGTATACCTACCCCTCTGAAAAATGATGGAGTTCGTCAGTTGGGATCATGACATTCCCAATATATGGAAAGTCATAAAATTCCATGGTATAATGATATGGGGTCAATCATGGTCCAACTTGGGTGAAGCCCAAGGAAAAAACATGAAACATGTGTGGTCCCCTGAGGCCCTTAGAATGACCAAACTAACCAACGGAGCATACCAACAATAAACCAACCAAAAAAACAACATTAGTTTCCGGAGAAAATGATCTACAAACGGATCATTCATGGGTTTCCCACTGTTTTTAGTATGCCAGGGTCATCATTCGGTCCTTGGTTTCCCCGTTCCAACGTCTGAAACTGTCCCAGTGGCGGAACGCTGACCGGCTCAAAGCGGAACTCGTAGAAGTCGTTCAACACCTAGAAGTCGCGTGCGGATGATGAGGGGGTTCTAATGGGAATCCCCGTTTTAGCATCTGAAACAATACTAAAACGGTCTAACGGTCTAAGTTTGGATGATTTGGGGGGTAAAATTGTACCCAATTTATGGAACCCGCCATATTATAATTATATATACACACACACACATGTTTCTATAATCATATTAAATGGGTATCCCTAAATCATCCATTTCCATAGGGCGTTCCATTATAATCAATCCATTTTGGGGATGCCCCCATCTATGGAACCACACTATTTAACATGGGTTTGTTTGAAATTCTGGTATACCCCAACTATTGCATTGATTTTTTGAATGACGAGACTCCATTGGACTTAGGCTGCCCCATAACCAGATAAACCGATATCAACAATGATTAACAATAATAATGATGACGTTGGTTAACAAACTTAAATACGTATATATATATATATCATACACATTGTTGATATAAGGCCAATGTTAACTAACAAACATAATAACACTTTTGCTGCCAATGCAAAAACATTTGCTGCGAATTAATGTTACTAGTGCTGATAACGGATATCATCGTGTTTCCGTCTTGGAAAAACCATATCGATATGTTACAATGAACATATGCCAATACATCTATGTGTTCATATATCAATATCAATAATTGACATATCAGTGTATCAAAGATATGATGGGATATTATCTTTGAAGTATTTCACGATAGTTCATCATATCATGTTTTATAGCGGAACATCATGACACCACCAACATTTTTTGGATCTACTGGGCTGATCGCCACAGCCGAAACTTCCCCCAACTGAAATGGGGATACCCTCCCGGAATTAAACATTGTAATGGCACATGACCTAGTATGTGTAAAATGTATGTAAAATGTATGTAATATATATATATATATTTATAGACGAGTTATTTGTTAAACACACTCATTCTACGTAATTCTCGATTGTCAGGTTGGAATTTCAAAGGTGGCCAGAAATTGGACATGCGTTCACACACCTGACAATATGATGATTGTCGAAGCCAGGGAAGCCCCCTCCACGGAGTTGAAATCGAAATATCATAGGCATTTCTCAAAATTGAGGTACCCCGGGTACCCCACGGGTATTCCATGGTATTCCCATAGAAAATGACCAATTGTTCTTGGAAACCCTCATCTACTCCTCAACCTTCTTCTGTTAATCTTCTCTGGCAGATTGTTTGGAGTTTAGAGTCTTGCATCGTGCTCCCAAACCTCTTTTGTTCCTGTTCAACTCTGCACACGGCAGTCTATGCAGTGGCAACCCTGTCAACACGCTCTTCCTTTCGAGGAAGGTTTGCTGGAGCATCTAATACAATTTTCTAGATGTTACCCAGCATTGAGTAGTTTGGTCGTTGTAAACTCTGATGACAGATCAGATTTCACTATCGTTTCCAGCAAATCTCAACGTCTGGGCTGATAACTCATCAAACCACCCCTATATACATATTTCCCCTGTCAAGAATTCACTGGTATAGTATGATATGTTTTCATGAATTGGGATACCAGTCTTGAGTGATTGTTGTTTACTTAAGTGATCTAGGAGGGCCATCACAACACGATGCCATCACGATAGAGCAGCAATGCCTCCGCAAGTGCAAACTGCGAAAGAAACAGGTGGGTTGCAGAGCTGTTTTGGGCTCCGGGGAAAAGAGCGTGGGAAGGGAACTGGGCTCACATAATGATGATATCTGATGATAAGAAGAACAAGCACTTTGGGAAGATACCGTAGAGGGTCAACATATCTTTTTTATCAATTACCCACGGCCCCCAAAGTTCCATGTCAGCTGTGCATTTGCCCCGCAGATTTGGGGATGGGTTATGTCACCATGTTGCATGGCCAGGGTTGAATATGGCCAGTCCATGGACTTTTTCGTGAGTACTTTCTCGTTCTTTAACGTAGCTATGGACAATCACCATTGTGAAGAGGTAAATCATCATTTTATCATCTATTTGAATGGGCCAGTTTCCACAGCTATGTTAAGTAACCTACCGGGTATCTCATGTTCCCGAGATTCAGACCTTCAAACTCCAACCCATCCAAGCCCTTTTTTACGAATGCCTGGCGCGAAACCACTGAAGCTCTTCAGGATGGTCGCAGGTTCTTCGCCGGCGGAAGATTTCGCTTCAAGGCACTCCGAGATGTAGACTGTTCCTTCTGTACACCTGGGCCCAGTGGAGAGCATCACTTCAGAACATGGTGCTCCCAGGTTCCTTGTGATATCTTATGATGGGAAATTTTGGATTTCATGGGATCTACAGTGGAGTTCATGGGATCTACAGTTAGCACATGGGGATCCAATGGGATCTACAGTTGGCATATGGCGTTCACCGTGATTTGCGATTCGCTAGGTCACCAAGATTTGCCCAAGGGGACGCTAAAGGGAATTTCCAACCCTGAAATCAGACAAAATCTTCAAAAGGACGCAATCGAGTTGCCAAGGTGCCTTGCTAACGATTCCAAATCAACACAGTATGGCATCTGATTCTGAACCTTTAAGTATATATCTATGCGTCAAAACATGAATTCGAAACGTTGAATAAGAAACACTAAAGAACACTTGGATAATATATACACATATATATATAACATACTGTAATATATATATATATAGACACTTCTGACCGATCAGCCCATCTGCCGGTCTGGACTCTTGATCTCTTGTGTCGAATGATCATCCGTGCTAGCGAGTGGTTACCAACCACAACTCACGTGAAGTCTATCGATAAGCCAAATAGGGGCCAACCAAACCATGGTCAATAAAAAACAGCTATCTTTTAGGTCTGACAATTTGATCCAAAATCACAAGCAGCTAATATCATATATCAGATCTATCAGCATTCTTAAAGGATAGTTCTACCCATTTACCAAGCATTAGATTTCAACTCGATCTTGATTTATGATGATTTATGATGATTTATCATGATTTATCGAGGTCGTGAGAGGAAAATTTGTCACATGACAACTCCCCAAATCGATTTTGGGCCCAGGCCCAAGGGTTCCAAATTCCCCCGAATCACCATGAGTCCCTGAGGCCGCATTTGATGATTTTTCTGATTTTTGATGGCCCCGGCTGCTCCTCATGAGTCCCTGAGGTCACCATAGGGTCGCTCGAATTTTCCCCAAATGATCCAGCTCAGCACATGCTGCTGCCCGCCAAGTTACCCAAAGATCACCAAAAAACTGCTGGGATCACTCTGCCAGGCCCTGTCGACGGCGGTCCAAATCTGACAACCCAAACCTTCCAAATGGAGGTAGCCTGTGTAATTCTTGCTACTTATGAGAAATTCATAAATCAGATGCATAAGACACCAGCTTGGCTGGTTACATTTCTCTTGAAATCAGTAGAGCACCTTTCACTGCCGGGATCATGAACCTGTCTCCATTGGGTTTCTCTGGAAATGGCGTACCAGAATATTCCATGGATTTTTGCATATGTTTTCCTAAAGGACACATGAAAAACAACAAAAAATATCGGGTTTTTTACCGTTCAGACACACCTCAGAGTCAATATGATTGTCTTTTAGTAAGTCAAAGTCACTAAATATCCCCAATATCTCCCAACTTTGCGGATAAAAAAAATGTGTTGCTCAAATCCCATCATGATGTTCCTATGAAATATCTCTGTTAAAAGGTGTTAACCCTCTGCATGCTGGTGAAATCCCAGAGGTTTAATGGTAAAAACATCCCCGTCTTTCTTGGTTCACTTGGTTCACCATGACTTTGCTGCTTATCCCCTATGATTTTGGTTGGTTATTCGTTGCTGCTGAAATGGTTATAATATGTAATTCCAATGATATCCCATATCGTCTTGATTGTTCTTGCTTACATGATGTATCATGATGTTACATGTTTCAATATTCCCATCTTTGAAATCCCATGTATCCCTATTGGTTGTACCTTGGTTTCCCATTATACCCTCTAGTACTCAAACGTGGCAATTGAACATCTTACGTTTAATTAATGAAAAACCATCTCTAAAGTAGTATTTCCAGCAAACCATGTTTGATGACACCGAAGGGTATCGGGTATTATACAAATCACATCATATCCCATGATTTTCCATAATTATCCCATTATTGCTGGCTAAATCACCATCTATATGGTGCCCCTCCCATTGTATTCATATTTCTTTGCTGGTGAAAACATCCCCATGCCAAGGGGGACCAGTGGATGACCTTTTTTTCCCATATCAAAACACGCAATCAACACATGCAAATAAAGTTAACCCATTTGAGCCGTGTATGGTGAATCTCAAATACCTGGCAAAAAATCGAATGTTTAGCTGGTTACAGTAGTACATTTTACCGATAGCAAAAGATTCAGCTGCACTACCCTGGCTAACAGTTTGCTATGGAAAATGGATGAAAGTGGCCCATTTAGTTCGTTGATTTACCTATTTCCAGTGGTGATTTTCAATAGTTCGCTATGTAACAGTTGACCAGGGGGTAATCACCATCATGTACCTATCATATATCCATCCTATACCCATCATTTTTAACCACCAATCCTTCGTCAAAAAACCCAGCCGGTGGTCCCCCGCCTCGGCAGGAAGCGCACGCTGCGCAGCTTGGGCCAAGCGCCATTTGCGACGTCCAGGGTGAAGGAGGAGAGCACATCGCCCGCGGGGACCTGCGTCCGGGCCGAGGCCGTTGCATCGGAAAACCGTGGGGAAACCATGGGAAAACCATGGGAAAATGATGGAATACATGGGAAACACCATAGGAACACCATGTATTTATTTATAGGACAACTATAGGAATCGGAAAAATGGTGGTTTAATCTAAAAAATACGGATTAATGGGATTGATTTATTTATTTTTAGTTGATTTATATTGGATAAGTTGTGGCACAGACCTTGGTTCACGTTTGGGTTTGTGGGGGATATAACAAACTACTTAATGGGTTGGTAAACCAACAAACAAAACTGGTAGGCTTCACCTTATCTTGTAGATATCATGGGAATGTCA